ACTAAAAACAGAATTCCCTCAGTTAAACTTTCTGTGCTTTTTGGTGACAGTTTTCTGACTGCTGCCACAAATCAAAGTGAAAACATAAAACTAGGCTTTTGCTTCTCCCCTGACTCCTTGAATAATTCTTCCTTTGGGGTAAAGTTTCCTTCACCAATTCTGTAAAAGTTAGTTATAGTTATTGTGTTGTTTTATTTTTAATCCCAAACACTGTACGGAGTGATGGTCGTCTCAGTGGAAGCCCATGGACTCCAATATCCATTTCTCCATAAATATTAATTACCAAAAGTATCAAAGAAAAATCCCTACAAGCAAGGATTTATCCTTCAACCTTATTGGAAAAGTTTGTTTGAACTTTCTCCACAGGCGAAAGTTGATGCTAAGCCTGAAAAGGGACTCTTTCTCTAGAAATTCCTTCAGTTTTTCATTCCAAAACTTGCTACTGTTGAACAGTCAAACATTCATCTTCCCCATAAAATTTCTCTTCTGTAATCATTCTCTTCTGTAATCATTTCAGGTCAGACAGAACTTAAAACTTTTGTAAAAAAGCACATGTATAAGCTCTCTACTACCATTTCACCCAGGATTGTCCATCTACAGGCTCAGTTTTAAGTAGTGGATGACAATATGTCAAAGTCTGGATATCATTTAATTAGTATCTCTGGCATGATCCTACACTAAGTCATAGCAGGGAAACCAACCCAATCTGTTAAATGAGATTATTGTAAAAACAAGTAGAACTGGACACTCTTGTCCTCCAGCAAGTAGGCTGGGATAGGCAAGAGATTGTGAGGGGACTTTGCTGGGCCAGCTGACCCCAACTGGCCAAAGGGCTTTTCCTTATGTACAATACAATGCCAAAAGGTCACGGTCACCAGTAAAAACTGGGACAGAGAAAGGGACATTTCTGGCTTCCAAAGTGGTTTCTGTTTGGAGAATGGCTGTTCTGCATGTGGGATGGGCTGAATTATTTCCTTTGCTTCATTTCTCTCTCTTTCCTTCACCTAATAAACTGTTTTTATCTCAACCCATGTGCATTCCTGTTGCCACTGAAGATGAACAGATCACACGGACACAGGTTGAGGTGTGGTGAAAAGAAGAGAGAGTTTATTTTTCCTCCCAGGATTTATAGGCTTCTGACCACGGCCAGGGATTGGATGGTCAGGATAACACTTTCTCACTGCACTGGCCATGAGAGATGTCCATCACAAGAAGTGTAACAGAAAGAATGTACGCATATCTATGTTTACAGTCACTGTCCTGGGAGTCTTTAGAAAACCATGTCAGCAAGCTCAGAAGCTGAGTTTTCAGGGCGACACATTCCCACTTCTGTTTTTCTTCTTTTCTCCCCCTGTCCTGCTGGGGATGGGAGAGTGAGTGTTTGTGTGGCTGCAGGCCAGGCTCAACCCACTACATCCAGCAGAAATGTTAGAGTGTGGTCAGATACGGAGAATATAAAGATAAGATTTTTCGTGGTAAATCTTTACTTGGATTTTATATGATTGAGAGGATAAAAGAAATTCATGACTGTTATTGATAGCAAATCCTGGGATCCTAGGATCTACCATGATACCCCTGGGCCCTGGTTATCTTAGATAACAGTGGAGAGGGAGAATCAAATTGTCCTGTAGACAGTGCTGGTTTTGTCTTCATCCTGACAGAAACCTGGCATAAGAATTTTACTTTCCTCCTATCAAAACTTTGCCTGCTGGTAATTATTTCCTTTCATCAACACCATTCTTTCTGTTTATCTTTTCTCTCTCTGCTTCCCCAAAATAGGATGGTTATCATAATTTTCAAACTCAGCAGGAACATTTTCAAATGTGGGTTTTCCCCTGTAATGGACACTGCATCAAAACATAAGGCAATTAGGGATTCACTTTACATGCTTTCCTTTCATTTTCCTGCTGCTTAAATATTTGAAAGAAATTCACCAAGAGTTCTCCCAGTAGAGACCTGAAGGCTGACATGATATTTTAGGATTTAATGTTACAACAAAGAGCCAGGATTTAATTAACCTTCTTGCTCTTTGGGAGACCTGAGACATGGGATTGAGTTCCTCAGAAAACCACTGCTGCTTCTCTTTCAGTTACTGAGCTCATTAATCTCTGTGATATGGTTCTTAAGGGTACAGCAATGTTTTATTTTGATCAAGTTAAGAGTGCCAAATATTTTACAATGAAATACCTTGTCTTGCCTTGCAGAGCACATCATTTAAACAAACCCGTAACAGAAGAGGAGCAAGGGAAAAAAAAGGAAATGGAAATTCAGGAGCAGAAAAAGGGATATGGGATATGCTGACTTCCTCTGTTTGCCTGACACCTGTGCCACTGGGTTTGTGCACACAAAATATGATAGAACAGGACAATGAGAAATTTAACCCTTGTTTTACATTAACCACCACACAATATACACAAACAGCACCTCTGAAACCAGTTTCTTTCTCTGAAACAATTCTCACCTTTCAAGTCAGACTTCATTCCTCCTCTAGGATGGAGAGTTCCCAAAAGCCACAGAAACTGCCCATGAAGCTAGCCTAACCCAAACCCAGCCAGGTAGTACTGATGGGACTGCCTGCTGGCAGTTGGGTGTATAAATCTAACTCATCAGTAAGAAGAAACATCACAGAAGAACAGCTGTGCAAAATTTTGACAGGAGAAAATTTTGAATTCTGTATGGTAACTTACAAATCCTATTGCAGAGAAGCTATGAACTGAGGGAGAAGTGGTGAGGCTGCACAGTCAGCGTGCACAAAGTGAAAGTTGGAAGAAACACCAGCTACTGCGAATGAAACAGTTAATGAAGTGCAGTTAAACCAAGTGTGATGTGCAGAGTCTGGGTGGAAATATAATGAGTTTATGTGTCTTGTTTTTGGAGAGAGTCTATTTTTCTGAGGTTGTTTTTCCTGCTAGAGCCCTGTTCCTGTGAACACCCACCCGAGTGTTGATGGTGTGTGCTATGGCCCTGCTCCATCAGCACACCTCTGCTCTGTGCAGAAGCCAGGCTGTGAAATTGGGATGAAAAGAAAGGCTGCTGTGCCCTTCTGTCCACACTGACCTGAAATGCACAGGAAAATGAGATGCACAGACTTGGAAACCAGGAAACTCTTCCTGGTTTAGTAATATACGCGCAGTCTTTCCATCCAGTCATACAGACGCCTCCTAGATTAATCTGCTCCTTTATACTGTGCCTCAAAGTCAAGATCCATCCCAGAGGTGACCTACTTGGGCACTAAGCCTGTGGCTGGAATAGAAATGATAATGCTGATACATATAAGCACTTGTACAGGCTCTGCCTGGCCATGAACTACCTCAAATTCAGCTCCTTCTCTCTTACTGACTCCTCAATCAAAGTGCAGGCATAATTCTGCCCTTCTAATGTGGCAACAGAAAAGTTTTAGGTACCTGACACCCAGCAATCTGAAATGGTGAAGATTTCAACCCTAAAGAGACAGACTGATAGGCAAGAATTAAATTCCATCTTGCTATGCATCTGAGGTTGAAAAACTGGAGTGAACTGTAGCACCACAGTGCCCTGGTGTCTGTAATGATTATGTTTTGTGGATACAAAATTAATATTCATTTAAGACATGTAATGATTTCTAGTAGAGACAGAGATTTTTTTAGTTGGTATAAAAGAGGAAAAGCAAAATTCCAGTTGTCCTTCAAGTGGTCCCTTTTTCCCTTTACCACATTTTCCCCAGAAGGAACATTTCATCTATTAATTTCAAAATTCAAGGTAAAAGCACAACACTGTCAAAGTCTCAGTTTCCAAATGCTTGATTTTTTTCTCTGTGCAGTTTGCTATAAAAGATCTACTTTTCCCATCAGAGACCAGTCAATCTCACTTCCCTATCAAAATGACTTTGAAATATTTTTGGCAATTAAACACCTGAGACACAGTGAAAAGTTGTTTTCTTTAGTCTTCTTGTCTATAATAATAAGTCTGTCTTGTTTTTTGGGAGGGAGAAGATGGTTTAGGAAAAAGCCACAAATGGAGATGTATTTGCTTCACTTGCTATCAAAAATAGCAAGCGGGGCTAGTACAGGGGTTATCTTTTTGTTGGTTGTTTTTGGAAGTGTTTTTATGTTTGTTTTTAATAGAAACAGGAACACTGCAACATAAAAACTAAAGGAAATCAAATTGTTTATCAAATTCTATAGTGATTAAAATGTTAATCCCAATGAATTTATTTGCCTTAGCTCTAATCTCTGAGAAAAGAGGATAAATACATTTGACTTGGGTGTACCTGTTTCCCTACCTGTGCTGTTCAGGACCATTTGACAGATGCACAAAATTAGTTACTTTGGAGCTTACTGGGAGGAATTTCTAATTTTTTATAAGTGCATAAAGAGGGTTTTTTCTTTTCTGTTTCAGTAAATAATTTTTGCCATACACTTACCACTTACACTGTAAAACAGGTTTAAGTGCTGACATTTTTAAAATAAAATTGTACCATGATATATCTTGACTCTCACAGCACTAAAAAATGTTCATGTCCAGCTGCTCACCTAAACCTGAAAATCAGGTAAAACAATTTATTGTGCTATATAAAATTCTTAAAGTCTGACTGTGTCAAGGAAACAAGCTTTGTTACAACCAAAGTGAAAGCAAATTTTTGTGCATGTGTTGGTGAAATTATTCAAATAGGAAACAACCAATAATCCCCACAGTAAAATGGTAGAGATAAAACTGGGAGTATTTAACAGTATTAAGGAATGAAATATGCTACAAGGATGCTGTAAGTATTTTTGAATCAACATTTTAAGTCCAGAAAATAGGGTTAAGGTTTTACTGAAAGAAAATTCTAAACAAATTGACTTCTGTAAATATCTGAACACCCAAAACACCTGAGTACAATGCCACTCTGCAATAAAGAGTTATGATTAATTCACAGATTATTTATAGTCCTACCTGAGGTTACATTTGGCTTTACACATGTATGCAGTGTTTTCCATTTTTTACCCCTTATGGTAGGCTACTTTCAATATGCCCTTCTAGATCTTACTCACTTTTATTTGAGACAGTAAATGCAAACCCTCTAAGTTTGGGATTGATTCTGAATAAACTACAGATGACCAAGGTGAACAGGAGATTTACTTAAAAGAAAGGAATAGCATCTCAGTGCAAGGTAAAACAAGGGTCAATTTTATGGATCTAATACCACTAATTAGACTCAACAGAAGTGTAATGGGGTGTTATTATCCCCATGCATTTAAAACCCTACATTATAAATCATTAAACTTCAAGGGTTATATTTACTTATATATTTGTAGTCAGTGGAAAATAGATCCCTAATGCTCTGACTCCCACCGAACCAGCCAGGAACAGCCATGGGAATGACACATCGGGCGGCTGCCCATGAAGTCCACCAAAGCCTCACAGAACTCCTGCAATGAATTTAAATAAGATTCATTTTAATAAAGAGCATCTCTTTTATGAGGAGAGCCCGCGGGAGCAGGGCCTGTTTAGTCTAGAGAAGGCTGAGAAAGGATCTCACCCATACAAATAAACATCTCCCAGGACGCTGTCAAGAGGATGATGCCAGCCTCTTCCGTGGTGTACAGCGACAGGACAAGGAGCAAAGGGCATAAACTAAAACACGAGAAGTTTCACCCCTACACAAGGAGGAATTCTGTCCATTGAGGGTGGCAGAGCTCTGGAAGAGCTGCACAGGGAGGGTGTGGAAATGTCTCCTCTCTGGAGACATTTCAGAGCTACCTGGACGCATCCTCGTGTCACCTGCTCTGGGTGACCTTGTGTAGGCAGGGGGATGGACCGAGTGATCTCCACAGGTCACTCCAACCCCGACCATTCCGTGATTCACCCCGTTCACGCCGGCCGTCACCGACCAGGGCGGCCCGGGGTGCTCTGACCCTCGGGCGCCTCGGGCCCTCCCTCAGGGGCAGCCCCGCCCCGGGTCCCCGCATGCCGGGAGCTCCCTCCGGTGCCGGGCCGCGCTTCCCTTCATCGCCCGCCGCATTCCCCCTTTTCCGGGTGCCCCGGCGGCGGCGCTCCCCGGAAGCGGTAATGCCTGCCCGGTGATCCAGGAAGCGGATGAGCCTCTCCCGCCCGCCTTCCCCTCCGGAGCGGCGCTGCGGGGACGCGGGGAAGGGGGTGGGGGGAGGTGGGGGGGGGGGCGGCAGCGGCAGCACCACCCCCGGCCCGGCCCGGCCTGTCCCGTCCCGTCCCAGCCCCCAGCGGTGTTCCCATGGCGCCGGGCGGGCGGGGGAGCCGGGGCTGACGACCCCGCCCGCTCATGGACCCCGCCGAGGAGGAGGAGGGCAGGGAGAAGCCCCCCGTGATTTACACCATGGAGAATAAGCCCATCGTGACCTGTGAGTGTCCCCGCCGCCGCTGCTCTTCGGGCTGGGGGTCCGGCCGGTGCCCCTGCGGGCCCGGGGCGAGGCAGGAGGGGGTGGCTGGTTTTGGGGGGCTCCCGCAGCTCCGGGTGGGGACAGGGCGTCTGCAAAGGGGATCTGATGGCGGGGTTTGCCTCTTCACTGCTCCCCCCCACCTTTCTAATGGCAGTGGGCAAACTTGGGGGTGTTTCTGTAGTAAATAACAAGCCGAATGTCGTGCTCAGAGGTGTTTAGGGGAAGAGGGTAAAATACGAGAATAAATCGTGAATCCCAAACTTCCTGCCGGCGAGCTTTGTGTGGCTTTGCTGGTGCTAAGAGAAGTTGCGAGGAGGCATCCTCTGCGGCGATCCCACTGATGCATTCCCACTGACATTATAATTTAATCTTTAACTGCTGTGCTTTAGTTCCATCCCTGAGACAGTTTAGTTAACCAAAACGGGATCTCGTGCTTCCAGCGATGAATTAGTCCTTTCAGGTGTCAGAGACAGGCAGGTGGTCCTGATGTAAAACGTGAGCCCCCCTGCTCTTACAGGTATAGAGGGATGCACTCAGAGTTCGCTTAAAACAAGCACGTGGACTAGGCTGGGCATTAGGAAGCATTTCTTTAACGGGAGAAGGGAAGAGGCTCCTTAGAGAGGTGTCTGTCTGTCCCAAGTCTGGCCGTGTCTTAAAAGATACTTGGACAGTGCCCTGAACATGCTGTAACTTTTGGTCAGCCCTGAAGTGGTCATGTAGTTGGACCAGATGATCCTGGTAGGTTCCTTCCAACTGGAATAGTCTTTTTTATTCTAACTAATCCATAATGCTGTCAATAAAAAGGTAAAGTGAATGAGATCAGCATACATAATTCTGCTTTTTCTTTTTAACAAAAGGCAGCCAGGGGCTGGTCTGAGTCAGGCCAGTAGTGTCTCTACCAGAAGTATCTCTACTGATGATGTGACAAAATACATATTTGCACTTTATCACCAGAACACTGGGAATGCTTTATGTGCCTGTGAAATAGAAACTTGTTTCACAGTTCTGTGTCGTCTTATTATGGACTAAGCATTTATTGGTGATTAAGGTCTTAGACCTTAGAGAAAGTATCCAACTGTAACCTTGTAGCTGTATAATTGTTGAGCTCTGCGTGTATATATATGTATTTCTCAACTGTTTTATAAATGTCCTTTTTCCTGTCTCAAACTTTTTTTCCTTTTTTTTGAATGCAGTTCATAAGCTGAAGTGAGCAGGATCTGTACTGAATCTTCTCTACTCACTTATTTAAAGAATTTTGAAATCCATTTCACTTTAGATTTAAAGAAATGTGTGAAAAATGCACATTTCAGAAAAATATGCACATCAGAAATATCTGGAGGATATAGTTTATAGTGTTAATGCTACTGTTCAGGCTGTGGGGGCTGGTTTTTTAGATTTTCTGGCTTTATGTGTATTCAGAATTGGAGAGTCTCCATGTGTGCAGCAGGGGGACTTGGTGGTGCAGATCAGTCTTCTCAGTTCTTGTGTGATTTGAATAAGTAACATTTTAGTCCGTTGAAGTACACAAAGTTTTACCTCAGGGTAAATCCTTGTACTTTTTATTAGTAGATGCTGAAAAGAACTCTGGTCTCTGTACAAGGAAATTTTCAAAATTCCAAAGACAAAATTTAACCAGATTTCAATCAAGCCCAGTTGTCTGATACTGAAAACAGTATTAATTTTGCGTAGTGCGTGAGCATACATTATGATTGTAAAATGTTTTGTTTTTATCCCCATCCAGTATGGTAGCAGCAGACTTAAAGATGAGATAAGAGGTGAGCATTACGTGTCATTTGTATGCCTCACTCCTGGACTGAGGGAATAATTTCTAGTGCTCTGGACAAGCACAGCAGTAGTATCTTTACTGGTATGGACTAGAGTGGCTTGGTCTGAGACAGCCTAATTCAGAAGTTAAAATTAATTCAGCAAAAGTGCTCAGAGATTACCTCTCTGGTGAATGCAGTAAGGGTGACTTGCTACACTTTAAATCAAAATGTTTGATTTCAATGGGGAATACATTTTGCTGTAATTGCTTTAGTTTCCTTTCTTCTCTGTTCAGAGATGTGGAGTACTTAGAGACTGCAATATTTCAAATAAGGGCATTCACCAATAATGACTTTCTTGAAGGAAAGCTCCTCTAAGCATTATATTCCAGAGATTTATGGAGAGGTGAGGCTTGGCCTTCCAGGGAAAGGATTGACTTGGTGTTGGTTTGTTGCAAAACACATTAAAAGCCATGGTATTAGAAGCTGCTCAACAAACACAGTTTATCTTGTCTGTGGTTCCAGTTTCAGGCAGTTGGAACTGTCTGGGATAAGTGTCCCACCCAGGAGGTGCATGTGGGGGAAAAGCAGACCTCTGAAGGGATGGCTGAATTCTGATTACACCAAGCAAGAGTGAAGGTTAAGTGAGGGTGCTTTTCAGAACATTAGTATTTCCTTTTGCTACAAGATTTAGATTAATCTCTGTCAGGTAGACTTTTGCATCATGAAATAACTCCTGTTAACTCTTAGGGTTTGCTCTTAATAAAAGAGAACTGAAGAGGGAGTTTTGTTCATAGTGAAACTTCTTTTCAACATTGTGCATAATGAGTTGTTTTGTAAACAAATGTTTTTACCTACTTGAAATAAATTTGTCAGTGCTCTGGAAGGAGTGCTTTGGTAAAGAGAGTTATGCTTTTAAATCTACGAGTTAGTCTGTATTGTAACCGTAGTTAATTGCTGTGTTTGCACAACCCTGAATTCAGCACTCTATGTACAGGCTCTGGCCTGTGGAAAAAAATGGCAGGTTCCACATGTCTTAGACATCTGATGCCAGTTGCATTTGAATTTTTTGTCAGTACATTTTTCATGTTTGTGCTGTAACTTGATTATTTTGCCCTCAGAAGCTGTGCATAGGTGATTTAGCCTTGTTTTTATTGTGCTTGCATCACTGGAAACGCCTGTAGTTTTAATAGAGAATTTTTAGTTCAGAGAATTCAGCAAGGCATGACAAACTTTCTGGAGACCCTTTCTCTAGGCATACAGACAACCATATTTTCCAAATGTGGCAAAAGTAGTATATTCACAGAAAGTTGCTGTTCCTTTTTGTTTTTCCCCTTTTTTCAGTATGGCAGCACCCCTGAGTGTTAAATCACTCTTGTCATGTAGGACTGAGTGCCATGATGACTCAACTCCTAATTAATTTGAGCCATATTTTTTACACTGTCAGTCTTACTAGATTGTGAAGTCACTGGGGAGTTTCCCTGTCCAGCTGTGGTTCTGCTCTCTCTGGCACATTACTTTGTGAACTCTCAGTTCAAGTTTGTAGCAATTTACCTGCATTGCTACCAAACCTGGTAAGCTTACAAAGTGTTTTGAGTCATCTTACAGCTTTCTCACTGCTGTAGAAGGGTTATTTTTAGCATCATTAATTTTTGGGTTTTTTTTGCAGAGGCAAATTGAGTGTTTGCATTGAACATCTTGAACTCGAGTAGTTTCTGTACGATGTTGACTTTACAAAATCTCTAAAGCAGTGCAGATTGATTTCCTAGGAAATCCAAACAATGTTTCCTTCTCAGGAATTCTATTTGAAACTTTGAGAAAGTCTTTGGAGCTTAAATGCATTGTTGTTGGGTGTATATATCAGCCAAAGAAGTTATCCCTATGTAGCTGATTTACACTTAAATTATTAGCTCTATCCATATGAAAAGGAGGCTGAAGACAAAAGGCAATTCTGCTAAATGAAGTAATTAATAGTTTTTTCAGAGCTTTCCTAACAAGCTGTTCTTTTGTAATTATCTTCATGCAGTTGTGGAATATTCTGTTATCGGCTCGTAGTATCTGTTTATATTGTCTACTGTCTGTTTATATTGTGTGTTTGCATGTTTGCTCTCACTGTCAATAATCTGTTTTATCACAATGGACTTTATATAATCTTTGGAGAGAATGGCATGCATCATTTTTATCTGGTCCATGTTCAGAATGTTCTGTGATACAGCAACAGAAAAACCATCAGCAAAAGCTTTGTAGGCCCCAGAATAGAAAATGTTTCCAATTATCTACAGCAGGAACAGAAAGGTTAATAAAAGTAGGGAGTGGGGAGGAATTTTGCATCTTTTTCTGGTGAAAACAAATACTTGCAGTTAAGAATATTGTTCTGGGACTAGAGGGGCTTAAGAATATTGTTCTGGGACTAGAGGAGTTTGATTCAAAAGTTCTTCTGTTACTAGTAGACAGATGTAATAAAAAAATGTGCCAGCAAGAAGCGGGATGTAGCCCAAGTAATTAGAATGATTTGCTGCTAGTGAGACCATTTAACAACTATATCCTATAAATGCATTTTCCCTGTTCTCAACCAGAACTGCTCCCTGCGTTGTAAGTCATCACTGCTGTGTAGTTGATACATTATTCTGTGTTTAAATATTTGATTACATATGTCAAGAGAAGAAGTGGCATATACTCGTTAGTGTTAACCTGGTTTACAGATTTAGAAGTGCAGCATTAAAGTTTTGCTAAAAGGACTTCTAGTGAATCACTTACAGTTTTTACATAGCAATTTAGCTGTGTTGTGTTTTGGTTTTTAGA